TATGGGTTTCAATCATGTTGGGGAAAAAAATAAAAAAAGTTGTTTATGGTCTCAGATTTATATTAATCCTACAGCATGTGAAGTCTCATTGTGTGATTTTTTTAAAAAAAGTAAAAATTTGAAGAACAAACACAATACAGTTGGCAGTTGGACTGTAGAAAAAAAATTGGAAGATAAAGTCTGATTGGTTAATTTTTTACACTGTTAAATCTAATAAATTTCTTACAGCCAAACCAACCCCCTGATTTGGCGATTTCTAATAATTGAGTTATTGGATGATTAGGTTAAAAGCTTTTAAAGTTATCGGTCGATATCGATGGTGAAATAAATTTCTCTAATGAGTAGTATTCTCAATCTTTAACTACTACTCTTTAGTTTATTATGGAGTATTAAACTTTTTATTGAAATAATATGTATTTTTTAAAGGTATATCTAAGCTATTTGAACACAAACTCTCGCAATTATGCATCACAAATTAAAAATTATCGTAAAATTTCTCATTTGTCAACTATTTAACAGCACTATAAATTATGTAAAGTGAATAAAGTCACTTTATTATGCTTACATGATTACCCACAAATTTCAAAAACCATTGGATTATCAATTAAGTATGCTCTTAGAAAAGTAGATATGGTAGGAAGGTTCCTCAAGAAGAAACATGGTGCGTCTACGAGTTGCTACCTCTCACGCTTTCTTCCTTAGAATAATTCACAATAATCTTAATTTGATCGTATCTCCTAATGGTTCATTCCCTCTACTTTCAAGTGGTTTCATGACTCATCAAGTTCACGATTAAAAGTTTTTTTTTTGTGTTTAAAAGTTCTCTTTTTCGTCGTTCTATTTTTCCTTCTCATTTCCAAACAAATTAAAAAAAAAAAACAAGATCGAGGGTACCATTTCGTTTAGGGTTTATTTGTTAGATAACTAATTTTTCTAATAGAATTGGCACAGAAAAAAAACGAGGTTGCAAAACCGTTTTTGAATGATTTAAATAAAAAATGTGATATCATGCATGTTATTGGATATTACATGGTTTTTATCAAAAAAATACTAGTGAAATTCGTTGTAAATAAAAAAAAAACGCAATAATGAATATTTACAATTTCTAATCATACGTTGTCCTTAACAAATAGAAAGGTAGAAGTTAGCTATCTATTCCATTTTCTCTTAAAGGCTTAAAGCTACTCAAATCAATAAAACCAAATCGATTTCGAAATTCGACGGACGTAAAAATGACAAAGATACAATTTGATATACGATAACACTATTGCGCGAGTGATGTGACATTATGTCTGTGTAAGAGAAATATATAAAATCTACACGACTTTAGGCATGTATATTAGTTATTAAACGATGAGGTCACGCACCACCCTCAGTTTATCTATCTATAAAAGCCCAATTAGAGTGCTTCTCATCGATACCATCATAAGTCACGAACGAACACATATGGGTGGTTTTGTCTATAACGTCCTTCCGTGTGCAAACATTATTTCACAGTTCTTTGATAATCGAGTCCCACTTGCAAACTTGCCTGCCACGTCAGACGAGTCTAGCCGGAATGCAGAGGATGATGAGCGTAAGCGGAGAAGGATGGTTTCGAACCGCGAGTCAGCTCGGAGATCGCGTATGCGCAAACGTCGACACTTGGACGAGCTGTGGTCCATGCTTGTTCACCTCATCAACGAGAACAAATGTCTGGTTGATGAGCTAAGTCGGGCTAGGGAGGGTTACGAGAAGGTTGTACAAGAAAACACAAAACTTCGAGAAGAAAATTCCAAGTCGAGAAAGATGATTAGTGAGATTGGGCTTAATAGGTTTCTTGATGTAGACAGCGATCAGATCTGGACCGCTTGATCGACTTGTAAGCTTGTTGGGTTTTTTGTTTTTTGTTTTTTTGTGAGGAAGACCAACGTATACAATATATTTCGTAATTGAGAATCTACGAAATAAATAAATAATTTAATATGTTTTACCACTCATAAGTCAATAGGCTCAATATTATATATATTTTCAGACTCATAAGTCAATAGGCTC